GCGAAAACTGGCAACCATGGCGCTTTAGAAAAGAGCCTTTATAATGGAAATGATTGATTCTGGTCGTAAGTAAACGAGGAGAGGTGAATTAACCATCACTGCCATCTTGTGCCATCTAAAATCGCCAGGTTACAATTCAAAACACAGGCGGCCGCGCGTCGACCCGCTCCGTTTTTGCGCTTTTGCTCCGCTCAATTTTAAAGATAAACCTATGATGTAATATACCAAATCAACGCTAAAAGAACGATCTACAATTTTTACTGAAGGGTATTTTTCGATCCGGGTCTTCGTAAGGACGTAAATACGGAAAATGCCGGTCAATAATTCTCAATTTTCAATTTCTTTCAATTTTACTCACATTTAAATTACCTTGACATTCTTAACTACCTATAGTTTATTCGAAAAGTAGACTCAATTACCTACAGTTTCAAAAAATTGAGCTCTTCAAGTTCATTTCTCGCTATGCAGTGAATTTTTTAATATACGTCCAATTTTCAACTTCATCGGACCACTGTGCGGGATCCCCCAAAGGCCCAAGGGGATTTATGGGGACTTTTGGCTAAAAACACCTTTTCATATGAAGCATCGATTGGGCCTAAATCCAGCCGTATTTTCATTTTTGGCCATCAAAATGCTTCGTTTACTGGACTAAAATGGCCAAATTGAAATACTTGTGGGTAGCAAAAGAAATCATATCCCTGCAGAGGAGAGAATACCAGGGAATCCTCCCGCCTTACGGTAGGGCCGCTACCTGCTTAAATTATGGATTAAGACATAGGAAAAGTAAACACACATTATGCTTTCATCAACTTTCAACATAGCTTCTAAACAAGCCCAAAATAATGAAAATCGGACGAGAATGTGCCGAGATATAGCGCGCGTATGACTTGCGTAGCACGCGTTAATTGCACGTACCTATTCCGCCGTTTCCACCGCGCACCGCGCACCCTGACGCTTCACTTACCTAATTTGCTCTAGCGGGTGCATTTTTTGACGCACAAAAAATTGTTTTGGTATCATATAAGAGGTCAGATAATTTCCCATCGCCGTTACTTAAGGCAAAAAATCCATTTTCTCGCGTGTTAAATAATTGAACGCTCTTGAAAATTGGGTGAAATTTCAAAATTTTCCTAATGACCATTCACGTATGCCTTAGGCGAAAAAATTTATGAGATAAACTTCTGTAGAAGCATTTTAGCTTCAAAACGAGATCAAGAAAACGAAAATCGGACACGTAGTTTCCGAGATATAGCGCGCTGAAAAAACGCTTGGTTCCTGCACGGACCTCAGAGTGCCTCCCCTTCTAAAAGGGCTTCTAATGACCATAAGAATGATCCCTGAAAGCGGCAATTTCCAATCAAAAAGTGCAGGGTTTTTTGTGTGCCCGCCGTACTAATATTGCTTCTCGTTAGTTCCTCGCCTGAAAATGTGACATATAAGCGTCACCCTCCCCTCTCCCGCGCGAACTGACAAGAAACACATCCTCCGATAGTGTAACTATGTATGAAATGGCAGAGCTAGGCATTGTAACCTGTCGGCAGCCTCTTTGCGACTTTTCAAACAGGACTTATGAATTTTTGATAATAGGTTGAGATTGAACTTTAATCGTGAATATCTCGAGAGCAAAAAATTGGATTGATCTCCTGTTTGCGCGAGCATTCTTGTTTTTTTTTTTTTTTCATATTTTTTCTAACGATGTAGCATATCAAGGGAGGGGTTGCCGTTTGAAAATTTCGAGTTGCCCCTCCCTGGGGGGCCCGCTCAAAAAATGAGCCCCTTGCCACATTGAGTAATGGCTCAAACCGAGACCTTTTATCTCTATTTGTTCCCGCGAAATGGTGTGGACCCAGCACCATTTCTCCACCTTATTACATGCAGTATTCGGACCCTTTCTTAGTGTTTTTTCTCATTTGTTCAAAAGATATAGAAACTTTTCACTTACCTACTTTCGGCCCACCTCGTATATTTTAATAAAAGTGCAAATTTTCTCCCTTTTCTTTCTAAAACAACCGACACTACCTACAGGAGATTTGCTCAGATATTCGCAGGATATTCGGTGGTAGAAAATTCATTGGATATCTGAATTGTCTCAATGGAAGATTCGCAGGATATTCGGCAGGATTATCGTAGGATATTCTACCTTTTTGTCATTAAAATATCTTTGGGGTATCCTACGAATACCCTCCTGCTCGGTGCGTTCTTTTTAAAGGGAAAACGTGATGTTTTCCCCGAGGTTTACTTTGATCCATCGACACGTAACTCTTTGTTGTATACAGGCCCGCCACATCCCATCTCGGGCCCTGGTACCAATTTTAAGGCCCGGGGGGGGGGGTCAGAGGGGCATCCCCCGAGAAATTTTTGAATTTATGAATGTATTCGGACGCATTTTGAAGCTTCCATGACGAATTTTTCCATCAATTTCTGCGGAATAATTACACTTTTTTCTACTTCCAGCACAAAATACTTGCGAATTGTTGCATTCAAAACATCTGGAAAATTTTTATTTTTGGGGGGACAGGGAAAATTTGAATTCTAACGACTTAGGTTATTCTCAAAAACTGTTTTTGAAAATAAAAACTTCATATCAACATAACGTTTGGCTTGATGTCATACTACTGGGCGTTTTTCGAGCTGATAAATACTTGTAAAACACTTCTTCAAAAAAAAAAGGTGAATCGTTTGATCTGCTGTTTCTCGCTGCTAAAAGTTAGGTTATGTTCACGTGTACAAATTTTAAAGCCTAAATAACTATGTAATTTCTTTGAACCTAACTATCTGGGGGCATTTTACCCCCAGATCTTCTTTACTTTACTTTGATATTTGTTCTGTGCGTGGTGAAAACATTCTAAATCGTCCAAATGCGGGAGTGCCTCACCCACAGTCTCACCCAATGCTCCATATGTAAGTGTGCGGCTCATTCAAAAACTGACTGTCTAGATGCTATTTGTAGCAAAATTAAAGAGAGTAATATCGCTACCTACTGAAATATCCAGATGTAACCTACTTTCTCAAAGTTCTTGTGTTAATGCCTATCTCTCGCAAAGTAGAAGAAACAGTTTACAAAACTCTACAAGCCAAGGCCTAAATAGTGCAACTTCTACTAACTCTACGTCTACGGTTCTCTCAACTCCTGCTTCAATTCCACATCACCCTCAACCCGATGTTAATATAATTGCATTCCTTCAAGAGCAAAATCGCTCATTAAAAGAAAACAACAAAATATTGCTTGATAGAATTGAAGATCTAACCAATCAAATTAAAAAACAATTCGAACAACTTGAAGCCCTTCAGGCTCAATTATCGAATAAAAATTCATCTCCTCCACGTAAACAACTCAAAACCACAAACAAAGTGTCATCTCTTTCTAAAAAGAGGCTTTTCCACGATAATAACCGGTATGATCTCCTAAGCTCTTCTGACGTTGACGATGATAATGATGATTCAATGGATATCACTCTTGGCTCTGACGCATCAATCTTCGAAATCCCTGCTCAACCTCCACCGAAAGATCCTGTCATGGCAAAAGCTGCTAAGGCAATCTCTCAAAGGAAGATTCAATCACAGAAAAAGGACAATAAAGCTATCCAACCAAAGCTTAACCAATCTAACATCCCTCAACCTGATTCTCAAACAGACAACGGTAAGAAAGGGGTCAAGCCCCCTTCTCCTATCATTACTGCGGTAGTCATCAACTGACTTACAGCCCAAGTAGCATTTTGCAACGAAAAAATTGCAATTTAAATGAAATAAAATTTCCAGATGATTTCAACTTTCTTGCAAGAAAATTGCAATTATTTTACAACATCTGACCCCCTCATTGTAAAAAAGTTGCAATTTTTTTTTTTGCAATGAAATTTCAATATTGACGACCTTTAAATTTCAACCCCTAAATTTTCCGGGGAAATTATAATAATTCGAACCCATGCTTACCTAATGTCCTACTACGTTTAGCAGCATAAAATACCGGACGCCCTTGAGTGGGCTTGAACCCGACCCGCGAATGTCATAGCGGAGCACTCTTCCACTGAGCTACAGGGAGCTGATGATGAGCTTGGTTGAAATCACGCCTGTTAAGGCTGTTATCGCATGCATTGCGTCAGTGCGTGGCTCAACATTCATCATAGATTTGATTAACGCCGTTTTTCTCAGGCTTCTTTCTTTTGCCTATTATTTATTTTTTTTCGTGTTATTTATTTTTTTCATATTTTTTTTGTCTGATTTTTTTTTTCGATATCACGTAATAGGTACTCACACTAAATTAACACCGGTGTAAATTACACCACATACTAACTTGAGAACTTAAAAATATTTTCAAAAAATATTTTTAAAATATTTTCAAAACTTTCTTAAGGAATATTTTTAACATGCATGTTTACAGGCAATATTTTTGAATTATTTTAAAAATCTTTTTTGTAAACATTTTCAAAATATTCCTTTAAAATGTTTTAAAAATATTTTGAAAATATTTTACTTACAATATTGCCATGAAAATATTTTGATAAAGGTGACAATATTTTCAAAATATGTTGGGCTATATGGGTTAGGTAGGTGAGACATTTAAGTCGAAAAAACTTTAAAACAACTAGAGAATTGGATGCCAGGCACATGGCGTGAATTTGTTACAACATGATTGCACCGAAATTGCAGTCTTTATGGTGCCTTGAAAAACAAGCATAATCTACATTTCTTGCAAACTTATTGCAATAAAATTGCAACTTTTTAAGCGCCTTCAAATGAACGTATAGGCAACAAGCAAAAATTGCAATCAACTCACAATCCATTGCAATGAAATTGCAATCCATGCTACTTGGGAGTAGGTACTCTGCCACACTTTAAAAAATGTAGATAAATCTAAATGGTGTTCCACGGCCTTACCACAAGGCTCATTTAAAATTAATGCATCCGATGACTCTACGCATAATACTATCATAAGATTGTTCAAGGATTGCAAAATCTATTGTAATACTTACGAAAATAAGAATAATAGGCCTATCCGAGTAATGTTCAAAGGCCTACATCACTCCACTGATCCTGGTGATGTTATTTCTGATCTAAAGAGTAAGGGGTTTAAACCCATTTCTGTAATCAACATTGTCCAAAAGAAACGTATTGTCACTAAAACTTCTAAAGAAAAATCTGTCAAAAATTCCCCCCAAAATATACCAGTAAATTCTCAAAAATCTGATAAGATGCCTGAAAATATCCCTGACAATTCTAATACCAACAATAATCCTGACGCTAACTCACCAGCTATCTCTAATAGCGAATCCAATAACATGTCACAAACCTTACCCCAAGATGAACAACCTCAACCAGATCCAAATACCAATAGAGATCAAAATCCAGTAAACCAGGATCATAATACTCAAACTGAAGGTATATAGTCCATGGTAAGTCACCTACCTCGCAATCTCAATCTCATATCGTTGATATTGATGAACAAGTCAAAATTGAAATTATACCTTTTAACTTGTTTGCAGTTTCTTTTGAACACTCTGATGATATCGAAAAAATTTTTAATATTAAACTTGTTGCTAACATGAAAAAAATAGTTGAGCCGTTATGCCCTAACCCTAGGGACTTCCCTGTTCAATGCCATCGTTGTCAGAGCTACAATCACACAGCCTCATTTTATAATTATATACCTAGATGTGTTCGTTGTGCAAAGGAGCAGGAAACAGTTAATTGTGACCTACCCAGGTATATATTTCCAATCCTAAATGTGCCAACTGTGGTTTGGACCACCCTGCCAGCTATAGAGGTTGTGAGGTTGCTAAAGAAATTGCCAAAGAACGAAAGGAGAGAATAAATAGATTAAAAGAACGCTTCTCCGTTCAAAATAAACGAGAAAAACTTACGGAAATTCCACCTGCTAAAAACTCACTCAAAAAAGGCTTATCATTCAGTGGCTCTATTAAAAACATCAACAAAAACTCAAATCTTACTCCAATTGACAATAGCAAAAATCAAGATATATCAATCTCAAATCAAAAATCTAACACCCAAGAATCTGACATAGCTCAAACCTTAAATTCCATTCTAGATTGCATCAATAGCCTTTCTGCTTGAATTACAAAATTAGAAAATACACAATTTCCCCACCTCAAGGGTGGTCCAAATCACAGCCGGAATCGTGGAGATGTCTGCCAACCTCAAAATTGCTGTTTTCAACTGCAATGGAGTCTTAAATCGCATTGCAGAGATCGATAGATATGTCAATGATAATAATCTTGATATTATGATGCTCACTGGAACTCATCTGGCTTCAGGACTACATTATTATGGTAAACCTAAAAATGATGTCTTTTATAGGGTTGATCACCCCGAAGATAATGCAAGGGGCGGTGTTGGCCTCCTCGTTAAAAAATCAATTCAACATTTTTATGATCCCAGGATCAATTTTTCTACTGATGCAATCCAGTCTGTGGGGATTGGAATTAAAACTAATCTTGGTGAAATCTATGTAGCCTCAGTATACTTCCCACATAGCACAGAATCTTATGTCAATACTGATACATATTGTTGGATGTTGACATGATATCACCAAAACTAATGCAGTATGATATTAAGATTGTCGGTTAAAAGGTATACCGCGTCAGCAGAATATAACACTGATACCTTCAATATATCAAACAACAGTATTGAGTCAATGCTGACGAGGTAAAAGAAAAAAATAACACGAGAAGAAATTAACACGAAAAAATGAAAAAAAATATAGGAAGAAAAAGAAGCCTAAGAAAACACGGTGTTAATCAAAGTTATGATGAAAGTCGAGCCGCGCACTGATGCTATGCATGCTATAACAGCCTTAACAGGCGTGATTTTAACCCGAAACACCATCAGCTCCCTGTGGCTCAATGGCAGAATACTGGGCTAGGAATTCCACGGTTCGGGTTCAAATCCACCTGAGGGCGTCCGGGTATTTTACGCTACTAAACGTCGCAGGACATCAAGTAAGTGGTTTATAATATTCAATACTTGTATACTTGTGTAATTCATGTTTCAAATGTAATACATGTGTAGTACTATGAAAATTACGGCCATCGTCTGAACTTTCTTATCTACTTGACAGAGTGCGCTGAGTGTACAGACGTGTCAGTGTTAAGGTAGTAATGCATACATATTGTCGGTGTCCTGCAGTGTTCTGATGACCTTGTCATAACCCTGATTTCCATATGAAATCAACCTTTTCGGCCAATACTGTAACAATATTTTGACAGCTCCAAATCAGTAACTAATAAATACTGGCATAGTCTTGATATAATATTAAATCAGGATACATCAGCATTTTATAAATACTGACACTACTGACGTGTCAGTACTATTGTAGTGTTATATCAATATTCTGTGCTATGTGGGTTACCACCAAATAGTAAAGAGTTCAACTTTGATTCCATCAAAAACTTCTTCTCATCCCTCCCAAAACGTCATATCTTGGGCTGTGATTTTAACTGCAAATCAGTTTCCTTCGGTTGCAGAAAGACATCCACTAGGGGTACTATCCTGCAGAGAGTCTTGCATTAACTCGGGGGATCAACCCTTACAGATGGTTTTCCAACCTACTATCCTTCTGACCCAATTAAACAACCGGATATCTTAGACTTTTGGATTATTAAAAATATTTCGAGAAATTATTGTGCAGTTGGTTCTGACCTAGAAATGAATTCCGGCCATATCCCCATAAAAATTCAAATATTCCAAAAAATTATTCTCAAACCTAAAATTCAAATCACAAATTCCAAGACAGATTGGAATCTATTTCGTGATAAACTCAACTCATCAATACTAAGACATGAAATCGCTAATGTTGATGAGCTGGAATATGAAGCGGAAGCTCTCGCTAATTTGATAAGGTCGGCTGCCTCTGAATCAACACCAGTCGTTTCATATAACGATCAAGCTCCCCCACTCCCATCTAAAATCCGGGAGCTCATAAAAGGAAGACGCAGAGCTAGAGCCAAATGGATCAAATGCCGATTTTATAAAGACAAAACTTACTATAACAAAGTCAATCACATTACAACCCACAAAATTTCAGAATTTCGTAATGAAAATACAAGAAAATTCCTAGAAACTTTAACACCCACCCACCATACAGATTACTCCCTTTGGAAAGTCACAAAATATTTGAAAAGAGGTGATACTTTCAACCAACCCCTGCAACGACCAGATCTATCCTGGACTAAAACCAATCAGGACACGGCAAACGAACTTTGTCGTCACCTTGAAGAAGTTTTTAAACCGGATAAGTCTGTCCCCTCAGAATTCAACCCGGATCAGGAAATTCTAAAAACCAAACCTAAAGAAGAGGTTGAAATTTCGGCGATAAGACATTCAGAGGTTGCTGACATTATCAAATACAAAATCAAAATCCATAAATCTCCCGGTCTTGATTTAGTCTCTGGTCAAATGTTAAAGGAACTTCCTTCTCTTGCTCACAAAAATTGGCAGATATATACAATGCAGCTCTGAAGCTCAGACATGTTTCCCTTGCCTGGAAAAAAGCGGACGTGATTTGTATTCATAAAAAAAACAAGCCTCGCCATCTTGCCTCATCTTATAGACCCATTTCACTTCTGGCGATTATAGGGAAGGTATTTGAACGTTCGATAGTAGCACAAAGACGTAAAATTTACCCCAAAAAAATTCGTAAAAAAAGACGTAAAATAGACCAAAAATGAAATGCCAATGTAGTCTTTTTTACAAGAATAATTCGTAAAGAGTACAAGATTTTTTACGTAAAAAATCGAGTTTCTTTACGTAAAAAGTTATGCGCAAATAAACTCTTGCTTCCTGAAATTGATTAAAATGATAAATCGTAAAGAAAAAAATAGACTTCTTACATATCTGAATCTGTAGTCAATTAATTCTCCTTGAGATCAACTTTCAAATTATTATCTACTTGTCGGGAATTGAACCTGGGACCTGCCTATCAGGAATCGAATGCGCTACCTACTGAGCAAACGAGGCCTCTGTATTAGAGGGGCGACTTTGCGCTGTATAAATGAATATTTTTATTGTTGAATATGCGGGAGAAGGAATTGCGGAATATTTTTTGAATTTGGAAAAACTGGATAAGGGCAAAAACTAATATTTATCATGGATATTTTAAAGATGGTTTAGGGTATACCTACTTTCAAAAGTACCTTTGTTGTTCAGAAATATGTGAAAAAAGTTATGTACATTTTAATAATGTGTCCCCCTTTTATCTTTTTCTTTTCTTAAATATTATTAACATGCATCAATTTTGTATAAGAATGTCTGAAATATTTTAATAAAGATAAGTTATTAAAATCTTCTCGAACTTTTAAAAACTCTGGCTTATTCGTTCAGAACAATGTGTTTTTGTATCCAGTTTTCGGGCTATACTTTTTTTTACAAACAATCTTTAGGGGACATCAGAATTTTTGGCTTGATTTCCTTGTCATAAAAACTACAAAGGTATCTCCTGTTCGGTCAATTCAGCGAATTTTCCGTTCAGAAATTTTTTTCCTAATTTTCTACATGTAGAAAATCGCGAATTTTTTACGTACAGATTTCAGTTCAATCCCCCAGTTTTTTTTTTTTTTTACGTCTTTGATCACAAATTTTTTACGTTAAGTTCTCAGACTCTGATTTTTTACAAGTTCTTTTACGTACATCTTTCGTACTTGTAAAATTTACCAGTTTTAATTTTTTTTTTCACGAATTATATTACAAGATGTGCTACTAGGGTCTATATCTTAAGCGTCTGCTCCCAGTAGTAGAGGAAATGAGAGTAATCCCGCCTCATCAGTTCGGCTTCCGCAGGAAACACTCTACTGTCGAACAAATTCATAGATTCATTAACTTTATCAACAAAACTATGGAAGGGGGGCTAGTGTGCGCGACAGCCTTTCTTGATTTTCAAGCTGCCTTCGATAAGGTTTGGATTGAGGGGTTGGCTCTTAAGATATATTGGAGTCTACCCTATAATCACTATGAATTACTAAGAAACTACCTTTCTGATAGATCATTTAGAGGTAGATACGAGGATGCGGTATCGGATTTTACGCCAATCTTGGCCTCAGTTCCCCAAGGATCGGTACTCGGCCCACTCCTCTTTCTAATATACCTTGCTGATTTTCCTAAATTACGTAGAACCAAAAAGGGTAAATTTGCGGATGATACAGCTCTCGGAACATTTGGCTCAACTGCCCAAGAAGCCAATAAAAACCTCCAATCTAGCCTGAATAAAACATCAAAATATTGTTCAAAATGTAAAATTAAGCTGAATGGCGGGAAGTCACAGCATACCATATTCTCCCTCAATAGAGACCCCATCACATCTGTGAAGCTTGATGGCGAGGATATTCCTCAAAAGAAATCTTCTAATTACCTGTGCGTTTTGCTTGACAGGCGCCTGACCTTCAGGCGGCACATCATGGCTATGAAGCAGCAGATAATTATTAATAAATATAAAAAATTGTGGTGGCTGCTCAGACCTAAAAGTGGTCTCACAACATATAACAAACTACTTCTATATAAAGTTGTGCTCAAACCTGTATGGACTTATGCTTGTCCTTTATGGGGATGTGCGAAAAAAACTAACATCGATGAGATTCAAACTGCTAGGATAACTTAATCCTCAGGGGTCTCTCGGGAGTGAAATGGGATGACTATATCTCTAATGAGATGGTCCGCCATCTTCTGGGAGTTCCTACTAATAAGGACACTATTCAACAATACTCGTTGAGGTATGCCATGAGGCTGAGCCGTCACCCCAACGAAAAAGCTGCTAATCTATTATTCAAATACAAAACCGGACCGAGACGCCTCAATCGGAAACATCCATTTGATTGCGTCTCGAGCCAGGTAATTAAATTAATGTGTGAATGAATCACCTCCGTTCCGGTCCAGGCCCAATTAATTTCGCCTCTTACTTTATTCATTTTCAGCTAGTGATGTTGACGCGGGGGTTGAACTAGTAAGAGAACCTTGAAATTCGCCACGACACTGCGACCGCTTTGCTCAGTGCTTCATTGAGCTTATCTGTCCTGTGGGAACATTGAACTTATAAAGTCTAAACAAACCGCGTATAAGTGGTTGCAGTGCCGGGGTGACTAAGCGTTGGGTTTGCTGCGCCTGGAAATGGCCTCTTGATGGGTTAATTATCCGTGTCATCATTATTAAGTTGTAACGCTGTGGACCAGTTAAACAAAAATATTCACCTGATCCTTTTCCTACCTCATTGCCTATAATATTTCTATTCATATTTATATTTATCTTATTATAATTAGTATGTATATATAGTGGCCCACTGTATTATACTTTTCCTCCTACCCCTATCCAGGGGAACATAATATTTTAATAGCACTAGCATTAAGTCTTAGCCTTAAGTCTAGTTATAATCAAATTGTAAATATTCCACTGTATAAGTAGGAGAATAAGTTTAAAATAAAAAAAAAAAAATTGGGGGGGCCATATGATACTATTTTTAATTCTAAGGGGACCAGGTCCCCTGGACTCCCCCTCATTTGTCTATGGCAAGGAAGTTAAGCCATAAGCCATTGAAGTCGAGGATGCCCAGACTGGAGACTCTTAGCAACTGACGACGGAAGAAAATGAAACGCAGTTACTGAAAATATCCTTCTGTACTGAAAATCTTGAAAATAGATAGAAATTTTGCAAGAAGTGGACTTCTTTGAAAATTTTAAGAAGAATTTTACAGTGTCCCAGCGTGTTTTTGAAAATTTATTCACCTTTTGCGAAATTTTTAGGGTAAATTTTTCACTTGTTCTTACGAAACAAGGGTTGCATGTGATAATTCGTAGTGGTTTTTCACGGGCAGCACGGCCCCCCTCCGGGGCCCGGGCCCCGATACCAGGGACCCAGAACCCCCCCCCCCCTTGTGGCGGGCCTGGTTGTATAGAAAATGTTCATCGGAAAATATAGTTGCTGATTGAGTACCAAAAATGTAGAAAATCCTTTATAAGGAACGTCATTTGATAGTATTATAAATGAATAAGCTTCACCTACTTACTCATAGGATAGGACGTCGTATTACGACGCCCAGAGCCCTGAATCCTACCTCATTTATTGAAACTTGACTCTTACCTGATCGAAAGTTTATCCGGTTATCCCACTGCATTGTTGAATGTTCACACACGAATTTAAATTTGAACACTTAGTAAAAAATTACCACGAATGCAAGAGGGAAGAAAACACCAGAAGATGTACATGCGCCGAGAAATGAATCACTGCACACCCTGAGTTCGCGCGCAATCAGAAAAGTTGAGTAGAATCTTTTAATGTCTTACTTTTCGCCTGAATATATTTTCCCGCATAGCAAGCTAGCTTTAAGCTTGCTAACTTCAGTTCAAACTGAACTTTTGTGACATGTGTAAGAGATTCTGTGTATACAAATTCTCTATCCATACAATGTTATAGGTACCCATCCAAAGGCAACTAGTAACGCAGCGATAGGTACAGAGCGATTTTGGTTTTTCTATTTTTGAACAAGTGAATCTGGAGACTTCCATGTAAATTAGGCTATAATGGCTGTACAATTTTATCCTTCAAAAATGATTTTCTTACTAAGTAGTTAAAGGTTCGTTTGCACTTAATTAGACACTAAATATTCACGCTGTATCACATTCAATAATGGATGTAAATCAGATTCTAGTGGGACCTTCGTTTTAAATCGCTAACAATTAGAACCATCGAGCTAAAGAAATGTGAAGAAACATCCTAATGCCAACACTTAACGACATTTGGGATTATAATAATTTCAGCACGCATATTTGCTCACAATAAGAGAAAATAAAATCACTTCAAATCCAAAGCTCACTGCCAAAAATTCGAAATGGCCGGTTATGGTAATACGTGTGCAGCGAGGGAGGCGATGTCTTATGATAGATTTTACTTTTTTCAAACCACGCTCGTTTCAAAAATCAGAACTTTGACGCGGAGACAGACATGGGAGATAGCGATCGGTCAACGCAGCTACTTCGATTAGCGCATGGTGTTATTTGTTAGACAGGAAAAGGAAAAAAGAAAGGCATCGGATGGTGATCAGTGACGTAGCAAAAGGGGAGGGTGCAACTTGCGGTGAATGAGAGTGTGTTGGTGTGCATGAGTGAGAAAAGGGGAGCAAAAGGGAGGAAAAGAGTGAGATAGTGGACAACTAGGATTATTCCACCAATTAGCTCATTCAAGTTGAAAAACACACATTCGTATCGTCGAGGCTCTCGGCTCCTTCGACACTCGATTGGCCGATCTGTGAAGTCGACCACAGTCACTTTCATAAGGGAAAAGTGACAGTTTTTTTTACTAGTATGTACCTAGTCCAGCAAGTAAAGGAAGAGGAAGAAGAGGAGTTTTTGCGGAACAAATTAATAAGTAGTTAGTTTCTTCCCCCATTGATTGATGGTACCTCCAAAGATGACTATTAGTCTCAAAAGGCTCCATCCCTGCCCCCTATGAATTTTAGCTGGCCCCCTCAAAGTTGAAAAATTCCCTTCCGATTTAAACCAATATAATTTAGCCCCTAATGTAGCTAGACACTTCCACCGTTTTAAAATGTCTTCTTCTTCAAAAAAACTAGAATCAAACAAAAAAGGGGTATCGATGAGCGCCTTTTTAGGCCCCCCTAGAATCTAAAAAATGCGGGTTTTCCAAATTGACTCAATGTAGTTTACGGAAATAATCATGATTTGGTCCATAGGCCACTGGATACGTGTTAAACGGTCGCCTGAACATACGTCTGCAGGCGCATTTTAGCGAAAAATGCGTGTTTTTTTATCACTCCAAAGCTTTTTGGCACCAAGCACATTGTTTAATTAAAACAAGCGTTTGATATGTTATCAAGGAGGCTTCAAGACACATTTTAACCCTGGTTTGGTTTTAGTTAGATGATGTGCTCATAGGTAGTTCAAAAAAAACTGTTTCAAAATTCGACTTTTAAGGGACATCCGCAAAAATCTTGGGGAAAAACGTCGTAAGGGTTTTTTTTTTGCCACAATTGAAGAAAATTTCCTTGTAAGAGTCTAACAAGGCTTAATAACGGCCCTCGATAATATACATAGCGTGTATACAGTTGCAGAGACGGGTTCCCCCAAGATTTTTGCGGATGTCCCATAAAAGTCGACTTTTGAAAAAGCTTTTTTTTTTTTTTTTTTTTTAAATTATGAGCACATCATGTAACTAAAACCAAACCAAGGTTAAAATGTGTCCTAAGGCCTCCTTGATGACATCGAAAGCTCGTTTTACTTAGACGATGTGCTTGGTGTCAAAAAAGCCTCGTAGTGATAGAAAAACACGTATTTTTCGCTAAAATGCGCCTGCAGACATATGTTCAGGCAACCGTTTAACACGTATCCAATGGCCTATGCACCAAATCATGATTATGTCCGGAAACTACATTGAGTCAACTTGGAAAACCCGCATAACTTTCCAGATTCTAGGGAGGGTCAAGAAGGGCCCCTATCTATACCCCTCCTTTTCCTACTCAAAGCTGAAAATGCAAAAAATTTGCAAATTTTTAGAAATTGAATTGCTTCTGTTTTACAAAGAGCGTTATGACTTTTTTATTACGGAAATGAAGGACTTTCAACGTTTTAAGGAGAGGTTGTTCCCAGAACGCCGATTTCGGCCCCCCTTTGGATTTGGCTTGAACTTCGCTCAGATATTGTGATATGAACTCCCGATGCACGCGCAAAATTTTAGCTCCCTCGGATTGCAAGTTGTGCTAAAAAACGTTAGAAAATTACAAAGAGCCGTAGGGACGTCAAGCCTGTAAGATCTTCCTCCAAGAGGGAAGATGCGACTGTATCTTATACGGAATCGTTCATTTCTGGTATTTCCAACACGAATCCCTGCTAAAGATTTCCCATGGAACTTTCACCCAGGTATTTTCGGGAAGGAGAATGTCTTCCCTGGGAGGCAGCTCCCCTGGGAAGCGGCTGTCCTGGGAATTTCACCCAGGTAATTTTGGCCTGGGAACTGGGTCCCCTGGGAAGCCTCCCATTCCGTGCCCGAAATGCGGTCCTTACAGCAGAGCCATAGAAGCAAAAGATCAAGGATTAAATATAAGAAAATTAATTTGTTCTATTGCCGAGACATTTTTTAGACAAAAAAGGAATTCTCAGCCACTATGCAATTCTCCATACCGCGGTCATTCCCAAACGGTCTCCCATCTATGTACTAACTATGCCCGACGTTGCTTAACCCCTGGGATCGTCCTAGAGCTGCTGCCGTGGAGCGCCGGAGGCTCGCGTGTTCATCGAGCATTCGTAATTTAGCATTAACGTCCCTAGCGCCAATTCCATGATTGAAAGCAATGATATTCTCGGAAAGAGCCTCCCAAAAAAAGGGCCTTTCTTGGCCCCTTTTCTGAAACTCGGGGATTTCATTCAAATGTGGCCTAAACGAAACCTTATGATGACCTAAGACTCCAGTAAAAATTTTAGCTTGAGTATACGTCTGGTTTCGGAGATACAGCGTTGCAAAGTTCGCATATTTAAGCTTTAAAAATCTTCATAGTTTCAAATATTATCTTCCTAAAACCAACATCAGAGTGAACTTTACATTCTAAAACAAAGCGTTAATGAAGCATAATGATAAAAAAAGCCTCCATCAAAAGTTTTAGCTCATGCATGACCCCTGTTTTGGTAGTGCAACGTTGCAAGTTTACCTTTCTGAGCTTTAAAAATGCTCATATTTTTAAGTTTCTTGTTTAAAAACCAATTTTAGTGAATATCAAACTGCGTTTTGAGGGATAAAATTAACCCCTAGTGATACTTTTGGATGCATAATTGCATTGATAAAAGGCTACAATGATTTAAAGTAACACGGCGTTGCACAGTTTACATCCTAAATCTCTGAAAATGTCTTTTCTCTTGTTTTCTTATGAGAGACAACTCCGATCAAACATGTTTCGATATTGTAAAGTGAAATACAAGGAATCTTGTTAGTTCTAAGTGACAGTTGGTGTAAAAAATGACACTGTTGTCTGTTTATCTTTTTTTTATCTCAACATTTAATGATAAAATAACATTAAAATTAGGATACTTCCAATAATTATCTAATTTCAAAATCAAATTCAAGAGACTTTGCCATGCTCGATGAAATGCTTGCAGCACCAGCATTGCTTTCAAAATCCAACAAATTATGCTTCGCCATAGTTGCCAATTTAACCGTTTTTTAAGTAAAATGAAAAAAATAAACATAGAATACAGAATTTGTCGAGTTGTTTTAAGTATAAATAAATATTGATCTAGAGAATACATTTATTATGCCTTGCAAAATAGAGTACCTCCACTGTTTTTTTAAAAAAAAGGAAAAAATGAAAAATATTGAAAAAACTTGAAAAAATTAAAAATATTGTAAAAAATTGAAAAAATAAAAAAAATCAAATAAGAATTAAAAATATTGAAAAAAATGAAAAAATTAATAAAATCAAATAAAAATTAAACAGTAAAATAATATTTAAAAAAAAAACAAAATTAAGTATCAAGTATTGGAGGCATCTTTATTTTAAAATAATTTTATTATTAATTGTTTGAAAATAAGTATTAATAAACTTAGCAATAGTATTTTTGCGAATACCAATCGTCACTTGGAACTGACATCAGCCCTCGACATTTTTCCTTGATATAAGGCCTGACACCCATTGACGTCCTCTTTAATTAGCATAAATAATAATTTCGAGAGTTTAAAGTTGTTAGCTTGGCAACGCTGTATCACCACCAATTAAAGTATCCTTATTTAAGCTACAAATGACACATTTGGTAGATTTCATGCTTCAAATTCTAAAGAAGATCCACGAAAGTAGCTTTTTAAACGCGGGACTTAGAAATATAAACATTTTTAAAGCTCAAATGTATAAACTTAGCAACGCTGTATCATTAAAACTGTACTTAAACTAGTTGTCAACCCCCCTTTTGTGATACCTCATTCAAAAGAAAATAAAAATAGAAAACTTTTGGCGCAAACCGCAGGTCAAAATGTTGATTTTTGACAAAATGGCGGCCGGTCGAAGTTCATAATGGCGGAAATTTGGCATCTCCGTTTATTATCGACGGATTGGTCTGAAACTCAGTATCCTAGGGTTTATCGGGACGAGAACAACGACTCTGGCATTAGTTTTCCAGAAAAGTCATTCCTTTTCAAAATGGCGGCGGTTAAAATGGCGGCTTAGACTGGGAAGTGGATATTTAGGCTGCTTATCGTCGGATTTGTATGAGACTTGATATTCGGGAGTTGGTATTTCGGCACCAGAAGAACGAATCTTTCATTGGGTTTTTAAAATTCTCAAAAACTTTAAAATGGCGGCGAAAAAATGACGGAAAATCCATATCACGGCTGTTTACCGATGGATTTGCACAGAAGGCAGTACCTACTCAGTTGGTTTTTGGCTCGAAAAAATTAATCTTTCATTAGATTTTTGAAACACTGAATATCGTCAAAATTGTGGCGGAAAAATAACGGAAAATCCGCATCCACCATCGCCACTCGTATTTTTGCCGCCATTTTGAAGTTTTTAAAAATTTCAAAAATCCAATGAAAGATTCGTTCTTCTAGTGCTGGAATACCCCCGGATATCAAGTCTCATAAAAATCCGAAGATAAGCAGCCTAAATATCCACTTCCCGCTCTAAGCCGCCATTTAACCTTCGCCATTTTGAAAAGAACTGAAAGGAGGAGTAACGTTTTGGGCCTTTTCCGGCCCCACCTGGATTTTGCTAAATGTTTCATATTTTCAAAGTACTAGTCTTAGGTAGACTCTGTGCCAAATATTAGACCGAACGGAGCCCATGCAAGGGCGCAGCAGCGCCTCAAACCCAAAATCCTGGAATCGAAAAACAATTATTTTCGTCGACTTTTTCGACTGTTATCACTCTTCCAGCACATGATTCTTATGTATTTTTTTGCGCACTTTTTGTTTCTGGCCTTTTTAAAGGCCTCCGATAAATTTTAAAGGGCCTTATGGCCCATTGTTGCCA